TTGAGTTTTTCTGTTTCTTGCAGCTGATGTTAATACTAGAATCATAAGGAAATTGCAGCAAGTGGGAGAACCAGAGCATGTGCTACTGATTTGAGAGAAGTGGTTAAGTAGTTGGAAAAGAAACAGATATTATGGCTAGAACATTCTTTCTCCTTACCTGGTTCACTGGTCCCTACTATTTTTGTTCTCAGTACAGAGGATTGAACCCAGGGCATTTGGAGCTAGATCCCGACCTTCCTTCCTTTTAAACTTTTGAGACAGGGTCTCACTAAGTTGCTAAATTTCCCAGGCTGGACTTGAATTTTCAATCCTTTTGCCTCGGAGTGCTGGTATTATAGGTGTGCACCAATACACTCAGTTTCTATTACATCCTGAAAAGCAGCTCATAAGCTGACAGAGTTCATGGAGTAGGGGAAAAAGAAAAGAAACTAAAGGACATGGTTTGCAAGAGAGAGACCACCTCTGTCAGTTCATTGCTTTGGGATATTCCAAGGACTAATTCGTTGTACTAGATATTAGGATTTTTTGGTCTCTAATGAGTGAACATTGTATACGGTGCTTTCCGTTATGTTCAACCAGCCCTCAGTGCCTTGACTGGCTATTGCCTGTCTCTCTCAGAATGGTAGCTTATGTTAGTGGGTGTGTTTTTTGCTGCCTGCAGCGGAGTCCCACTCAAGTGAGGTGACCCCAGCGAGGGGTGGAAGGGGACACAGCTCCAGAAGGACGGGCTTTTTCATCTGGCATCTGCAATTTGTGTTGTGTTTGTTAACAGCTCCTCAAACTCAGGGGTTAGGAAAATGACCTTGAAATGGCAGCCTCCACAGGAAAGACTTTAGCCCCAGGTCCTGTTCAATCACCTCTGCTAAGGGCTTTCAGTTGGAAAATGGAATCCACCCACAGGTTCAGGCTAAACAGGTTGTTTTAGAAGACCTCACAGTAGCCACTATCTACCTGAGAGGAACGAAGGAATGCCGAAGGTAGGAGTGAAAATATTAGGTCATTTAGGCAGTACGGTTTATTATTGGGAAATGGCTTGTGCCCCAGTATTACACTAGGTACTGTTCGATGCTGAAAACCCAGGGGGAAAAAGTTTCTGCTGTCATGGGTTGTGAGTTCTACAGAGAGCAGAGAGATAAATATCAAACTATCAAGAAAGCAAATACATCGGAAAGATGACATTAGACGTGGAAAGTGCTAAGAAACTAGAGTGGTGTGGTGGAGTGATGTAAGTGGTTGTTAAGATCCAAGGGATAATTTAAAGCCTAGTTTATTTCTGCTTTAAGCCCTCCTGTGGCTGAAGGAGGTCCAGGGTGCTACAATTCCCTTCCCAACTTGAGTTTAGAATGAGCTGAGAAAAAGTCACAGGAATCAAGGGAGATTCCACTCAGCAAGCTAGACCAGTTGAGAAATCTATACAAAATACCATAAATGGGGCACCTTATAAGCAAGACTTAATCACTGTTCAATTTCTGGAAGCCAGAAGTCTGAGATAAAGCTTCCAGGATGGTCAGGCCCTGTTAACATCCTTCTTCCAAGATGCAGATTGCTGGTTTATTGTGTCTTCACACGGCAGAGAGCAGAAAGGGAAAACCAGCTGTCTCCCCTCTCTGACAAGTGCACCAATCCCATTGATGAGGGCTCCACCCTGATGATGACATGTAAATCTACTTACTACCCTAAAATCCTAATCCCTAATCCCATCACATTCCCAGTAGGGTTTGAACACTTGAACCTGGGGGCACACACGCTGTCAGTCCGTAACACTGAGAAAAGCCAAATTCAAGTATACATCTTCCTCCCTTGTAAAAAACAGACACTGGAATGTCAAACCTCATTTAAGAGGAACTTCACCCTTTGGCCATTGTAATATTGCTTTTCTTTTTTACTTTTGCACAAAGTACAATTTAAGCCCTAAAATTGACAATAAAACACAGAGCAAGCAAAAAAGGTGGTGAAGAAGAACCTTCACACATACAAAGATGGGTGATGTTTTTAGTATCTTCAAGGAATCTAATGTGTAAATATTTCCTTTTCATTTATATTTATAATAAACAAAACAGCTCACTTAATGTCTTGTCTCGATGTTTTATGTTACTGGTTCAAATCTTTATAGTCTTTCAAATTTTCTCTACTACATATGCTTATGTCTGTTTGTTTTATTTAATTGTAGTCAGTGATTAAGAAAAAGTTCAAGATGTAAAATATTAATTCTAGAGTATCATTAGTCTATATTTACATATGGAGGTAGGAATATGGCAAAAGGGATAGTATACTGGACCTGTGCAGTACATACTCCCATGAAAAGTGATATTAGAATACGCACTTCAAAATGTGTTTCTGTCTCCTTCCAGTAATCCCAATACAGAAACCTAGTCTTGGATCTTTGGTGCTCTATTCTGTCTGTTTGTTTGAGACAGGGTCTCACTATGTAGTTGAGACTGGCCTGGAACTCACTATGTAGCCCAGGCTGTTCTCGAACTCACAGTGATCCTCCTCCCTCAGCCTCCCGAGTGCTGGGATTACATTCGTGCGCCACCATGCCCGGCTCTAGTCTGATACATCCTAAATTTAAGTCCGTGTTTATGCTGAGACTGCCAGAATTACAGATCTGGTACCTTGGTTCATGAAAGAAAGAAATTGAGATCTGTTTCAGTACAGCTTCTGTGTCCATGAATATCAGGGCAGACACATGGGATAGGGCATTTTATTAGCCTGCACTATCAAACTCTCCTAGGAAGAAAATTTTTCTTCATGAGAATTCCCACACTCCAAATGCATGCACTGACATTCTCTTTTCTGTGTATATTATTTTTCATACTCAGTTCTGGTTTTGTTTTTTCTGACATTATAGAAGAAAATTAATGGGATGGAATAAATTAAGAGCCTTGGTACTTTATCATCTTAGCTGCTCAGTTCATTAAATTGATATGTTGGGGAGATCAGGAGGTTCTTGCTGATAGCTCCTTTAGAGCAAAGGACTTTTTATTTGTCTTTGTTTATTTTTATGATGATATGTTTACCATAAAGACTATCATACTTTTATGGTGCTGCATAAATAACAAACACAATAGCAAAAATGGTAATTAAAATTTGGGAGGCTATGACAATTTTACACCTTTAAAAATAAATGGCAATGTTTTGTCCCAAAATAGCTACAGAGCCAAAAATTCTGGTCAATATGAGTGGAAGGAAGTAGACTAAAATTTCTATTTAGTTAAAAGTTTCTGCAACCTTTATGATGTTGAAGAGAAGTATGTAAGAAGGTTATAGAAATTGTCTTCTTGGAGCTGTCTGAAACAGGATCTCTGATGGGAGTGTTAGGGCTGACCTGTAGAACATTTTCTTGGGGTGGGAAGGTAGCTAGGTGGTACAGCCTAACATACACGGGGGTTTAGGTTCGGTACCCCACCCTCAAAATATAGCATTTTCTTGGAATATTTCTCAACATCTGTTATAGCCTTAGAGTGCCTATGTTTACATGTGTGTGTATGTACACACTATTTTCTCTAGAATTGAATTAACAGTATTACCATAATGGAGGTATTCTCTCTGACTTGAGCTTTAAAGTTGCTTTAAAGTTAAATGGCATAATTTTGTAGATGAATGGTAAAAAAGTAATGTCTATACTTCTGATCCAAATAAATTCGTTTTATCTTACATTTCATTTTATTTCTTTTTCCACATGAGCAGTGTTTCTGGAAGAAGAGACTTTGAAGGAATTTTAGGGAAAAGAGTGGGTGTCATTTCTTTGTTGCTAGAAATTACCAGCTGAGAGCCCCCTTATCACCCCTCGTGTCTTTAGTTCAAAGAAGACCAGCTTCTTGGTGTTGGTAGGGTTAGGAACGGGGTGTGGAACGGAGGTACAGGCACAGGTTGAAATGGTACTGACAAGGGCCTGGGCAGCTCTCACCATGTGGATGCTAGTTTATGTTTCCAACTCACTATAGGCTGGATTTTGAATGTCCTGTACATGTACACATGTTAGAGCTTGGACACCAGCCTGTGGTGTTATAAAAAGGTGGTGAGATCTTCAGCATGTATGTTGTAAGGGAAGGAGGTTGGGTCATTGAAAGAGTAACCTATAGTATGTGGATACTTGGACTTTGAAGCTTTCCTCTCTGTATTTTTGATTCCAGATACCTTGAGGTAAGCAGATCTCCTTGACCATGTGCTCCCACCACAATGTGCTGCCTCACTACAGACCCATGGCAATAGGGCCAAGTGACCATGGACTGAAACCTCTGAAACCTTGAGCCAAAATAAACCTTTCTTCCTTTCAAGTTTATTATATCAAGTAGTTTGTAACAAACGAGTGCAAATGCTTCTTACTGTCATGTTTCAAATTTTTCATGTTATGTTACATATTTTAGTAAAAGTATTCTGCAAAGTTGAATGTGACTAAGACACATTCTCCTGACCTAGAATGCTGGCTCTTCATTTGACCAATACTTAATTATTCTTCAAGTCCAAGCTCAGTACCACTTTCTCCAGGATCATTTATGTGATATTAGAATCTATTTAAATTTTCTAAGTACTTCATTCCTTTCCTTCAGAGAAATATACATTAGAGTATATGTAAATGTACAGGAATACAATGGTATAATTACCTATAAAGATCTCTTTCTTGTTACATGTTTCTATGCTCTAGTGGGGCAGGTCTGAGACCTGGACAGTATAGTCCTTGGTAGACACATCAGTAAATAATCAAGCAATATTTCCTGAGTGAATAAATCCATAAGTATTTCTTCATTTTCTCATATTGGAACTGGTGAAATTATCTTTGTGTTCTAATCAAACTTCTGTTGGCATTATTCCTGAGCAGTTTAGGTTCAGAGCTTTGCAGCTCTTTCTTTATTGCCAAGGGGATTTAATGTTTAAAGGGGCCCAATAGTGATTTTTGGGGAAAAGAGTCACTTGTTTATGTAAGTATTCCATATTTTTAAAGTCTAAATTAATTTTGTTAACAAATACTCCCTCTCCACTGTCAGAGCATTCCTTTCACAACTGTTCAAATCCATGCATATTTCAAAAAAGTGCAATTTCAACTTCTGCCACCCCTCAGCACAGTTTAATGGAATTTGGCAAGATTTGATTCCTCCTGCTTTTGGATGTCTATGGGCAATAATTCCATCCTGTTAACCTCTGGATACGTAACAGCTATCAGCCCTCTTGCTGGTGCATGATCTTTAAGCAATACAAACCCTCAGAGGAAAGAAAGACAGATGAATTAGTACCAAATACCCTTAAATAAGGAGATGTTCTCTTAGTAAGACAAAATACAATGAAATTCATCACAGTTTGGCCAACTGGTCAAAAAGACAGGGTTCTACAATCCAGATGCATGTACGGTCGTTGTTCTCTTTCCTGGGGAACAGAACAAAGCCAAGTAAACAAACCAGGACACCTTCATCGGCTTTGCTGTCACTCCTGGTTATCATCCAATTACTCTACTCCCCCTGCTCCCGCACAATTCACAAGCCTCTCAGATTGCTGGCTCTCCAGTTAAATTGGATTCACCTGAATATCTGACTGATATTTATGCACACAGCAGGGGATAATTTTTAGCATGTAACAAAAAATCGGTTGGTTCTGCTGTTCATTCGGTGGCTTCCAAGTCAGTCTGGCTGGATGGCTCTGTGATTCTCATAGTCCCATGTGGCTGTCAGAGGAGGGAAGTGCTCCCTGGGAGCTCTGTCATCTCAGGCGTTCGGGTGCAGGCTGTAGTGGAAGCAAGCAGCAGACTTTTTCCTCCCCTCCTTTCTCTGTAGGAGCAAGAAAGGCTCCTCATGTGAATCCCAGCTTCCTTACCTCCCCTTATGTTTCCTAGACTGGAGGTGGGATCCGTGGCTGCTCCTGCTGGGATAAAATGAAAAGTCACTTTTCTAACCTTCTGTGTGTAGGTGACAGAAAGTGAATAAGAGGTTTAAGGCTGTTTTCTGAATATGTTTAGAAAGGCTGTCGGTAGATTCTCACTCGGACTCTGGTTAGCCAATTGGATGAAAATCGGGTTCTTGCTTGTGATCCTCAACCTTAGGATGGTCTTTCTTCTCCATTGGGTACCATTTTCTCCATCAGAGGTTTCCTAAAGAAGTGTTTGGCACAGAATCAGCAAATCACAGACATAGCCCAGTTATTCAGTATATCAGCAGAACACCTGCTATTTCTCAAAGATTATATTTTATTTTCCAGTGATTCTCTCCCTCTCTTTTCCTATAGCTCTTTCTCAGTGTAATACATGTAAAAGTTTTTTACTTTGTATAAATAAAATAATAGCACTAATTTTATGGTTGGGGATATTCATGATAATCATTAAGATGAGGTTTTCTTTATTTTATTTTTGTTTTGTTTGGGGGCACTGGAGGTTGAGCTCAGGACCTCACGCTTGCCAGGCAGAGGCTGTGCTGCTGAGCTAAAGCCCTGGCCCATTCTTTATTTTTGAAAAGGTAGTATGAGATAGAAGCTCCCTAGCTTACTTGAAATGCACAGTTTAATCAAAATCTGCATGCTACCAATACCGTGTGACAGTAACTCCCCATTCCATCTCAGCCTTTTGGGTTTAATCATCAATTCATAGCAAATGATCCATCATTAAGTTCCTATCTATGGTATCTTGAGTCACTGGGTATCTCTGCAAGTCAAGGAGACTCATTGCATTTCATCGATGAGAAGAAAAATAGGAACAAATGGTTTTGGTAAGGGTTGTCATTCCTGAACCCAATTCTCTCCGTGACTTTGGTGGCAAACTGGAAGTAGGGGAGTAAGGATTGGAGGGAGGGAGTGTTCAAACCTTTGCTCTATCAAATGAAGATAGAACATTGCCTTGTTTCTTTTTAGCACTCATATAATTGTGTCTTTATCTGTGAGGACTACAAATCACCAGCTGGGATGTGGAAAACATTCGCTGATCATGGGTGGTGGACTGATTCAGAAGGCAGAACCCTAACATGGACCCCAAGAGTCTTACCCCATACCATGGGTAAATGGTCTGCTTAGTTCATTCCTGTTAAGTGAAGGAAAAATCTGCATGTGCTGCGATATCACTCTTCTGATTAAATTATAAGGCAAAGGTAAAGAAATTTTTGCAGACATAATTAAGGTCCCTACTCAGTTGATTCTGAACTGATTTGAAGGAGATTTTTCTAAGCGAGCCTGACTTAATTAGATAAGAGTGGAGGAGGAAATTCTCCTCTTGGTTTTGAACAAGTGAACTCTGTGCTTTGAGATGGTTGGTATATGTCTCGGACCCGAGAAATCCCTAGTAGCTGAGAGCAACCCTTCCAAGAACCAGCCAGGAAGTGAGGACCAAAATGCTGCACCCCAGAGACTAAATTCTGCCCACGAGCTGAGTGACCTGGGAGAAGACCCCGGCGTCCACCTGTGGGACTCAGGCACCTGACTCTACCCCGGGAAACCCCGAATTAAGGGCACAGTTACACTGTGCCTGGGTTTCTGACCTCTAGGGAGTGTGAGAAAATTAAAGGATGCTGCGTTAGGCCCCTAGGTTTGTTATGCAAACATAGAGAAGTAATAGATTTAGCTAAATACATGCTAAATATTCTCACAAATACGTATTGGATTCCTACTGTATCTCCAGCCCTGTTAATTCTCCTTGCACTTGGATAAGCAGAAAAAAAAAAAAAAAAAAAAAAAGGCTCCCTTGTGGTGACTGACTGGATTTTTCAAGAGCCTTCATCTGCTGCGGGGATGGAGGGAAAATTTTAAACTTGTCAATTAAAGTCAGTTCAGCTTCAATTTTACCATTCTCACTTCACGGAAGTATTTAGTCAGCTGGGGTCCAGCTCCATCAGGGACACTTTACCACCTTGTGCCCCATACCGATCTCTAGTTCGCTTCTCACATGGAGAACGCGAGCCTCCCAGTTCCCTTACCGTGTGGAGGAGGTGGGAAGGCCCTTCAATCCATGCAGTGACCGCTGGTCCCTCAGCGGTGACGTGTGTGGCCTGAGCTGCTCCCTGAGCGGTGACCGCTGGGATGGGACAGGGCCCCTACCTGCCCATTGTTTTTGCCCAAGAGGGCATCTGTGTGTTTGGAGGGAAGATATGAATTGACCATAAAGGAAAGCTGCTAGGCTTGGGTCTACGAGGCACTTCGTAAATAATAAATACAATAACAGCGGATAAAGTGCCTACATACACACAAAAGTATAATACAATATTTATGAATATGTTAGTATCTATCTGTCATCTATCTATCTATCCACGCATCTAATGCTTTGTATTGTTAATAAAGCCCTTTGAGAACATCTTGGCTGGGGATGCTCCTCGCCTTCTCAGCGAAGACTGACAGCGCCACCTCCTGGCGGTCTACAGGCGTGCCCTCCTAAATTTCCCCCTGGTTTCTCCCAACCTGTTTGCTTACTCAGTTTGGTCAGGACCTGGTCGTTTTTTCCTGCTACCCGTCCCCGCCTTGGGCTCAGAGAATGATTTTGTGGATCCTTCTAACTCAGCTTGCTCCTACTGCCCAGCCCCAGGCCCCTACAAGTCCAGCATAAACTGGACTCTTTCTTCCTTTTCTGCTCTAGATTTGCTCATCATTGCAAATCCCTCTTAGGCAAGCAGCGACCTGAATCCTAAGTGCTCAGTTGTGGATCTGCTGAGGAACTAAAAGATACTACTGCCCTTTAACTCCACTGTCTTGTCGAAGAAACTCTTTTTTGCAATGTAAGGAAATAAAAACCAGTTCTCTCTCTCTTCTTATTGTACAAATCTTAATGTCTTCTCCCCATTTCCAGCAGGCAGTAAGTAGGGTGCCTCAGGCCGTTGGAGAGAAACCAGGGAGAGAAACACGAGAACGGTTTCAAGGCTGTTCTGAAACACGCCAAGTGTCCAACAGTGAGTAAAATGGGCCGGTCTCTACCCTGGAGGTTCTGGCCCAGTGGGACGGACAGATGTTGAGCAAGTAGATACAGAGTGCTAATCCGTGGCACATGGTAAATGGCTGTTTGGAGAGAAAGTGTCTGACGTTGACAGTGGTGGGGTCTCGAGTGGCCATGGGCACGGAGAAAGATCTCTGTGAGACACGCGTGACCGAGACACGCGGATGAGAGGGCTTCGGTCAGAGACGGAGAACGGCACGTGGGTTAGTTCTACAGTGGGCTTGGAGCCTACAGCGGCTTCCACCCCTAAAGAGCAGACATCAAAGCTATTCTATCACCTAAAGCTCTCCTGTGGTATGGCTCCCCAGTACCATCCTGGCCGATGGCTCCGGGGTCCCTTATCTTGCTGATCCTGTCCTTTCCAGAAGGGTGCAGAGATGCCTGGGCAGGGGCTCCAGGGGGGTTATTTGGTAAGGAAGGGCCCGAGAATCCCCTACTTGTGAGTAAACACAAGCAGACCATCCAGTTTCCCACTCCCGTTTCGCTTCCTCGTTACATGATGAGGAGGATTATTTTATTCTAAATTTGTTCTTAGATGAATTAGAATGGGCGCTGAGGAAGAACGGTTACATCTGTGTAGGCTATAAAAAGCCATAGAGCGTTGTCATTCTGAGTCCCATAAGCACATGGTTTTACAAAACCCGATGGCTCACTTGTGGACCTGCCATTTGAAGCTCACACATTGTACCCTCTTCACCACGCGCTGCCTCGTGACGAACAGCCACAGGTAGTTAATGGCGACTGCGGGTGGACAATCTGGCAGGTACCTGTCCCTGTCTTTGTGCCTTTCGGTAGGACTTCTGCTGCTCTCTGACCATAGCAGTGGATGGCATTGGAAACAAAGTATTAAACACAGAATATTGAAACAGGGCTGACATTGTTTTCGAGCAGATTTTATCGATGAAAGAGGATCAGAAACTTTACATATATACATCTATGCATATATATATATATATATACACACACACACATATATATATATATATATATGCTTTTAATTATTAAGCTTTACATTTTAATGAAATATATAGTATATTCACAGAAAGTTGAACTTTATTTTTTTGTTTGTTTGTTTGTGGCATTAGGGATTGAACCCCTGGCCTTCTCACTGAGCTACATTTCCATGCCTTTCTGTATTTTTTGTCTCGAGAGGGAGTCTTGCTGTTCAGACTGGGCTTGAATTTATGATCTTCCCGGCCTTAGTCTCCCATGATTGCAGGTGTGGGCCGTCAGCCCTGGCTATAACTGAATCTTAATAATGAACATCATTTTCATATTTTATATTGAATCACATAGAAGTCTTATCTAATGAATGGCAGGTGTTTTCCATAATAATATTACATTTTAGTGTAATTATAGATGGAAAAATCACAGACCTTTTTGGGTTTGTATGACAAATACAAATGCTACCAGACTGCCTGTCACCCCATTATAATCGCCAGCTCTTTCAGGGCCCGGGAAGGGTGTTATTCACTCTTGTTTTCCTTAGCACAATGCCAGAATGCCAGTCAGAGAGCCTCACATATAAAGGTACTCAGTATAAACAGGATGAATCAAAGAACTGGCCCGGGACCTCGGAGGTGCGGAGAAATGGAGGCATGAGGGTTTAATTTCCATACAGTTCTCCCAGAGGTACACCGCCTCAGCAGGGCCTCAGGAGCCTGACTGCTTGGGTTCAAATTCCAGCTCTGCTGCTACCTGGTCCTGTGCCTCCCCTCTCCTTGGGGCTCACAAACCTCCTGGAGTGGACAGAAAGATGAAACGAGTTGATTCAAGTGGAAAGCACTCCAAGTAGCACTGGGCACCTGGCAGAGCTACAATAATACGGCTGCTATTGTACAAGGTGAACACAGATCTTCAAAAAGAAAATATTAAAATAGAGGATTAATAAATCCCTCTTCACCCCTTTCTCCTACACAGCACCCTCTCTAGATGCCCACAAGCATACACACACAAGTGCACACACAAGGATACACCACAAACATGAAAATGTAAACCCCTCCTAAAATTGAAAAGAGAAGTAGTTCCTTCATGGGCTCCCAGGAGGAACACTGAGTTCTCCCCTAGGAATCCCAGTGTAGTTTCTGCCCCTTTAAATGAGTCCATGCTGCGCTTGTAAGTCTGAACCAGAATTAGGTAAAAGGTCCCTGTAAAGCCTCCAAAAGCTACCCCTGGAATAATTCCAGGTCATTTTCCATCTTCCAGTAATGCTAATCCTTGATCTTGGCATGACTAGATAATCTTTTCAGATATTAATTTATGTACTTTTCTCCCTGTTACCTTTTCCTTTTCAACGCCCCTTACAGCTTCCCTCTCTCTTTCTCCTTCTCCTATTCCCATTGGAACTGACCTTTGATCTCTGCTTCTAGCTTCAGTGACTCGTGGAGGAAAGGCTGGAAGGATGAAAAGTAGTTAGGGTGGAAGGCACCCGTAGCCTGCAAAATGCCTTTTCTTTGCTAAAAATCTAAGCCCATGTTTTTCAGTTAGAGGGATTGCAAAATTGGCTGAAAGACTAAATGAGTTTATGGGGATAGGATAGTTCATAAGAAGCGCAAGGGAAGACAAACATTATGCAATTCTAGAAGGATTTTATGGCACTGTGACAGAGTTTGCAATCTGAGGGTTTCATCAGTAAAGGAGGTCTGACAACATGCACCACCCTGAGACTCCAGATGACTGGCTGTGTGTGGAGGGCTATGACACTGGAGTCACAGGCGTCTCTTTATGTTTCCATGTGCAAAGCTGAGGTTGGACGTGATAAAGACACTGCACAAAGAGGACACTTGGACGATATGAGTGCCTCCAAGTAATGTAGGTAGACAATAGAATAAAGTCCCAAGTGCCCCTTCCCTGACTTTGTTGATGTATAAAGATCTGGCAATGTAGCAGCATGCTTGCACATGAAGAAACCCAAAGAAATAATAGACAAAGTTTCCCACTTGTCTGGTTGGTTGGACAAGATTAACATGGCTACGAGCATGACACATGAAACACGGCAGTGTACTGGTCGAGCGGGTGTTTTTACCTTGCAGCAGTCTTTGCTCTTGCTTCTAACAAGACCCTGATCTCCCACAGGGGCTTTACTTGACCTCCCTTTGAGGAGATTTGTGGAAACTCTTGGTCAAGTTTCCCTGTCTTCCCACAGCAAAGAAGGGAGGGCAAAAGATCCAAAGGAGTCCAGTCAGAGTCCTCCTTTCAGATGTTTGGTTCTTGAGGGGAGTGATGCAAATACTGCGACTCTGATTACGTAGCGAGCAGTGATTAGTTCCTGCTCCCCAGGTGCTCAGAGTTGAGTTGGATTTTGCTATTTACAAGCCCAATCTTTAGGCTTGTGCTTGGTCTTGAGGACTGCTTCGTGTACTTCTAGTGCATTCCTTCTCCGTATAGAAAGGCATTTGGTAGCTATACAAAATTAGAAAGAATTGGGTTTGTGGCTATTGTTACTATTCTTGATGCTATCAGTTCTAGTAACTGTTACACTGTCTGAATGTATATAACTGTCTTGCCGACCTGTTGATGAACTGCAGCGATGCCTGGCTTTAATTTCTAACTCTGGGAAGCATTTGAGGCTTCTCTGTTAGCTTCTAACACTGACCCATCTGGTAGAGGCCACCATATTCTACCCTACTTCAGCCTAGTAGATTCCTTTGACTGCCTCTTTCCCAGAATCTGTTTTTGGAAAAAGAACCAGAGAAGTGACCAGAAAAATCCAAAATCTTCTGGTGAGTTGATGGTGATGATCCAGATTAACTGTGTTTCGTTAATGTTCAGTTACCAACATCAGCATGAACTTATCTTCTCTTGAGCAGTAGCTAATGTCAAAAGCTCAATTGAGTTTTGTCCTAAAGACAAGGGCCTTTAATTAATTAATTTTTTTTTGCATTTACTCGTTTGTGCCATTTTTTTTTATCTGAGTTATAACTTTTGTTTGTTGTACTAACACCATACCAAATTTTTCTTTTATTAAAAATTATACTGCATTCAGAGCTGCAATAACAAAAAACCTCAAAATGTTAGTGTATTCAGAATTGCAATCCAAATTTGAATACTTTTATTTAGTTTTAGTAAAAGATAAAATTTATTTTGAATCTATATAATAATAAATTTAGTTTTATGCATGCTCAGTAGTTACTTGTTTTTGACTTTTTCTATTTCCTCCTTTTTAAAAACAATTTATTATTGAGTACTTCAGTACTGTCTCAGAGACTATAAATGGTAAAAGACACTTGATGTTGTGATTTTAAAATTCTTAACATTATGTATTTGTAATTTATTATATTGTTGGATACACTTTTCAGAATAACAAAGAAAATTAAAGCTAAAACATTTCTTGCACTTTGTCTCTAGATTCATTTATATCAAATCTCTTGAAATGTGTGTTTTCTAAAGACAAGTGATTAAATATTTAGAAATGATCTGAACAAGCAGAGTCCCAATCAGTAAGTGCTTAATTAAATATTTATTGAATTAATTAGCAAGGCAGTTTGGTTTGTTTATTTTCACGATAATCTGTTTTAGAGGGTATTAAACTACTCTTCTCCATTGTCTCTTTCACAGATCATGAGAGATTAACTCACAGATTGTTTTAGTTATGTCTATTTCCCCTGTGTTTACACAGGTGCTTTCAGTTTGTCTGCAATATTCACGTGAAATAAGATTTATTCATTACATAGATGCATTACTAGGCACTTATTACGTGTTGGACATTGGACTGAATGTTTACTTTAAATCCTCTTTCGATTCCTTACACCTGATACAATGTAACAAGTCAGTTCTACTATGTTGTTTAGGGGACAATAATAAGACACAAGGTTTGTAAGCAGTCAGTACAGACACAATTTCCCCCACATATTTTGGGTCTGAGGTTGAATCTGTGGGTGTTGAATCCCTGGTTTTAGAGGTTACCCGAATGTCAACTGTCGTTTGTCTCTTGACCTTCTCAGAGGGTAACATTGCTATTGGGCGTTTTGAAGGGGTGAATGGAACTGAGCAGAAAAGCAGGTGAGAGCAGGTAGAATAGAAACCCAAGCTAAGGCAGCAGTGTGGAAAGTGTAGCCCTCAGGAAGGGAACCAGTACTATCTGGGGAAAGACCTGGGCTCTTAAACCATGAGACGTTTTGCTTCGTTAGGGAGCGAAATGGAGCTCACTCCATAAACGATGGGATCAGTTTGCAATGGAGAATTGGTGCGGGCCACTGCAATTCCGGAGACTTAACCGGATGCAGTTAGAAGCAGGCACAGCGGTTAGCCAAAATATCTCCTGTGAGAATCGGCAGAGGCCTGAGCCCTGAGAGTTAGGAGAAGCAGAGATGTTCGGCAGTTATTACTGACAAAATAAAAGGGTCACAATCTACTCAACGTGAGGATTGAGAGAGGAAAGCATTTTCCATACTGCACCGAGAAAGCTTTTTGAGAAAAAAAAATATTATGACAATTCTTTCACCTTGTTGAAAATGCCTTCTTGGGCTTCTTCTCGCTTTGAGATTGAAAGCCGAATTGTTTGTTCACCTTTGCATCTCTAGTGCTTAATACGTAGTTATGTACCTACGTGACTATGTACTTGCGCAAGACAAATGCAAATATTCTGCATCCTTGCTTTTTCTCCTTCCTTTTTCCATGAGCAGAAGGCATTTAAATTGATCCATTTTGCCCCGAGGGTGGAAAGAGGTTGTAAAGGAGAAAATCTGAGGTGACAGACAGTGGTAAGGGGAGAAGCAGTTCACAGGACTCATAGTGTGGTCTTGATATACACCTCGTCAAATAAGATGATGCAAAATTGTCAACAAAAGGTAAATTTCAATAGAAATATAAAGATTATGATTATGTTTTCATCACATTTTACACTCCTTGGGTTGGTCCTCAGGGTTCAGTAGAATACTAATAAGTGTTTTTGAGGGTCAGAGATATGAACATTCCAATCTCATATGACTGCAAGCCAAGACTATTTATTATTTTAAAGGCCCTTTTTCATATAAGCAAAACCCAGGGGCATTTCAGAGTGTAAAATTTTGGCAAGGTCATCTGATGTATTCCTATAAATGGATGCCTGGAGGTCTTTTTCTGAGTGTGGTAAACGCATTTGGGATAAGCAATCTTACAATAAAATGATTTCATATCAAATAAATATTGAAATGCTTTTTAAAGGTCATTTGACACAACTCTGGAATATTGACAGGAGGATAGATTTGATGCATGTGTTTTCACCAATAAGTGAAATAAAAATTCACCACATTTGTTTTATAATATAAATCTCAAGTGTTAAGAAATCACATTAAGTCATTTTGAGCTATTGTAGTCCCTGCTCTACCCTGAGCATCTAGTGAAGGTATAGAGGCTGTTCACATACAATGCTTGCAAAATTTTTTCATATCCCATTTTTTCTTGTAATGTATGGAAACCTGAGGATCTGAGGTGTTAAAACCAAGTTTTTCAAGCCATTCTTTATCTCTGGAAAATTTTATTTCTCCCTTTCTGTATTATGCTTCATCGATGACAAAGGAAACAAAAGGATGAGAATGGAATCTGGAAAGGAAAAATTAGAGAGGAAAAACAGTTTCCGTAATTGAAATAAATGACGGATTTGCAGAGTCAGGACAAGAGATCCAGTCATTCTTCTAATGCATATTTTTGTTCCACGTTGAAGCACAAATATGTTTCTGGGTTAGTGTGAGGGAGGATTCATTATGATGAGAAATGTTTCTTCCTAGGGGCCAAATAGAAGGCAATAAGCCTCATTCTACTAAAAAGCTAGACACATAATTTCCTTATTTGAAGCCATTTGGCTATGTGTTCATCTGGTGCCAACTATCATCTTAAATTCTGAGAGAACAATCCCAGCTTCTCTTTCTAGCCCAGAAGAGGTTTTTGGCTAAAACTGATTTTGAGAAATTTCTGTGCTTCCCAGTTGTGTGTATTTTGTGAATGTGTATTGGGAGGGAAGGTGCCCAAGGAACAAGAATGAATGTGCCCGAGGGAGGACAAAGTAGATGTAGCATTTTTAAAATGAAACGATTATGGTGACACTTCTGTAACGTGGTCCATTTTCTCTCAATTCACTCAGGATCCCCCTTGCAGCCTTGCTTTTGGTCACTTTGGGGGTCGGGTCCTTATCTGTTCTGTGCCTGCACTGACAGTTTCTCCCACCTCCTCCTGTCTTCCTCCTACTTTAAGGAATGTCCTCCAATGAAAAGACCAGGTTAAAAGCTATTACCATAGGCAAGGGCGTATCATGAAGTTTTCAAGTGAGGATGTCCAGGGAAGAAAATAAAATAGATTGACTAAACTCCAGTCAATTCAAAATTTTGTAGGTAGTCTCTGCTAGGTGGAGTCTGCCCCATCCTGCGATTGCCTGCGTTCTGGAGACCTGTAAACATGTTACTTTTCAGATGTGACTGGATTGTTAGGATGGGCCCAATCAAATTGCAGAAGCCATTAAATGCAGAGGACTTTCTCTGTCTGGAATCAGTGAGCTGCAGGAGAAGAAAGCATCAGAGAGA